ACACTTGCTTTACTTCTCTCTGGGATAACTTCCTCGGAGATGAAATGCTGGTTTGGTAGCGAAGCTACAAATACACACAGCCACTCTATCACGTGAGCACACTGCTCCAAGGTGCTACGGTTATGAGCCGAGTTACACCGTGTTGCAAGTTTTGTGAGGTGCTTTTTTTATATTTAATGGATCAGATTACATTTTTTTATTTCTCTCCGATATCCGATCCAGTAATTTACGTCAGTATCGGATCGGTCCATCTCTACTCTAGAGTTCCTTTTAAATCTGAAGAGGTGAGTAGAGACCATCTCTTCCAGTGCGTCTCAGTGCAGTTGTTTTGTTTTGTACCTGTGTGTGATTACCGTTCAGATCTGGGGAGGGAATGAACCTATAAAGTTCTATAGTTCTATTTAAACAGACAAAACAGTGGAGGTGTGACAACACAAATCTAGATTTTAGATGTGGATGTGGCAGAGTGTAGCTAATTGTCTCTCTGTGTTAGCTCTGTAATGAACTGGCCACAGTTCCAGGGTGAATCCAGGCCTGTGACAGCTGAGAAAGGCTCAAGTCGCTCAATTCAAACTTCTCTCAATCACGCTGATCCAATAATTTTCTTGTGTGCCTTCTGAGAGCGAATCTGACTCTTTTCCCTGTGTTTTAAATCTCAGTGCTATTCTGTTATTCCACTTTTCAGACTCTCATTTGTGTGACCCACCTTCTCCCCATCTCCACCTAATCCCTCAGAGAACCTCATCAGTGTCTCCAGCTGTATCTCCAACTTAACCATCATCTAGACTCGGGGTTCCTGTCCTACTTGGTTGCATTTTTGAAACTTTGTTCTGCTATGTTGCTTATCTGGGTCCAATTACATAATAGCTTATTATACAAGCTGTGCTTTATTAGATTTATTGTATTCTTCCACATCACCTCAACGTTTTCTAATGCACTTATAAACTATACTATGTATCAGCACTATCTAAAGAGTTATTTCTAAAACTAATTGTTTCTTTTTTAAGTTTATGGGCTCATTTATGTTGTTGTAAGTGTGTGTCTATGTGCACTTACCTTGCTCTAGAACCTTTTATGGCATAGCAACACTAAACCTTGACCTCACTTAGCACTGTTTACCAAAATAGCGGTAGGGTTGTCGTCACCTTTACAACATTTTTATGCTAGTCCAACCCCTTTCATGCCTTAATGCCCTGCTGTCCTCTTTTTCCTCCCACGGCTGAGGTTACCTGGTCAGGTGGTCAAATAAAAGGGATAAATACCTAAACCCAAAGCTCTATTCTGAGAACAAGACAAAAAGTACAGGCTTGCGCTCGCATTCAAACAGTCGCTTAAGCTTTGCTTCCACCAAAAGGCTTAACAGCAGTTACTGCTCATCATTCATTCTTCAACTCATCAAAGAGAAAAAGAGTTTTAGCAACAGGAGAGCAGCCGAGAGGTTGCTATTAAAGGATCAGCTATGCTTGGAGGCATACGTACAGATTTGGTGGTCACAGTGGCTGTTCTCTTTCTAACTCAGACAGGGACTCAATGCAGGTGGGTTTCAAGATCATTTAAATTTTTTTAGTTTATCTGTGATTAATAATATTTTAGTTTAGTTTATTTAAATTAAAACAAAGGAAGTTTTTAGTCAAGTTTTTAACTCAGTCCTTTATTTTGTTACATTGGTTATTGGTCATTGATTTCCTATTTCAGAGCTGAAAATGACTTCCTATCAGTTACTTTACCGGAGTGGAGGGCACATTCAGGTACGATGTAGCGCAGTTATTAAGACCTTTAAGAATTTCATAATTACCTGACCTGCTTTAGATAAGAACTCAAATCAAACATGTTGTACATAATGACGTATTTCACTTTTTGTTTCCTTTAGAATACGTTATACAGTGTTTTGATGACAGACATGCCAATCTGAACTGTGAGTGGCCGGCGAGTGAAAAAGGAGCAGGTGAAGACAATTATATTTAATAGAAAACAGTAGCCTGAACTGCTTTTTGAAGTCATCAAGCCAATTTACAGTTCTGGGTTCACTCTGGCTCTGAGAGATAAGTTGAATGAATTAATTAACCTTTAATTTTGTCCCAACCTTTGGCGAAATATCTGGAACATCCATCCACAGTTCTGTTTTAATCTACACACAGGCTGCGATTGTATTCGTGTCTCACCACATTATCACAAATTGATCTGAAATAGGCTATATTCTTTTACAACCTGGTATTTTCCTGGGAGCACTCAAACAGAGAGCCTACACATGAGATTCAAATTTAGTAGCTACAGCAACACAAACAGACAGCTTCTACAGCTACAGCTATTTCACAGCAGATGTTCAGTACAAGGCAGTACATGTTTAATTACAAGAACAAAGATGAAGAGCTGTTTCTGTTAAATATATATTATCAGCACATATCAGCATTTAAAATATGTAGCGTATTAAGTTTTCTTTTTTGTCTTTTTCTCCTCCAGGGGATTTTGCAGTGAATGTTTCAGAGAGTGGTCCACTAGGGATTGAGGGCCAGGCTTGTCTAGAGTTCTGGTACCTTGTCCCAGTTGCAGCTAATGGGTCTGAACTTCGTGTCTTGCTAAAAAACAGTGTTGGTTCAGTAGAAATCTGGACCTCTCCTGCTCTCCCTCAGAATGCATGGAGGCAAACGTTTGTGCCCCTGAACGTCACTGAGTCCAGGACTCGGGTAAACTAAAACATAGCAGCACACATTAGAACTGCACTGTCATAATATAAATATTCTATAGCATGTCCTTAAATAAATTACCTTTTTTATATATTAGGTTGTGTTTGAAGTGGTTCAAGGATTGTCCATAGAGAAAGAGATCACATTTAAACAGATAGGTGTAAGAAAAGGCTCCTGTGGTAAGTATTTACCAAACTTTACTATTAAACTTCTCAACAACAGCTCTAGTGCCACAAATCAATTAAAAGATTGAACTGTATTCATAATAACCTTTGTGCGGTACATAAAAACAGAAGACGTGTCATAAGAATTGTCACAAAGACATTTTTTGATGAGGATGTTTTAGAAAATATTCTGAACTACAATATTAAAACTGAATACAGTTTTTTAATGTTATTAATCCTACATACAGTAGGTGTCGATAAGCTGTTAATATGGTCACCCCAACAGGACGACAGTGTGAATCGAATGCAGAGATATGGACAGATGAGACCACCCGCTGCCTCTGTTCTGCTGGCCAGCTCTCCTGCTTTCCCTCTCACTGCCCTGAAGGCCAACTCTGTGGTCCTCAAAGAAGAGGCTCCAATGGGACTTCTACCTTTGGGATTTGCACTATACACAGTCACGCAGACGGCAGCACTTTTGATGGAGTATTGTTCCGCTTTACGACCGCCTGCACTTATGTTCTGGCTAAGACCTGCTCACCCACTGAAACCCTGCCCATGTTCGCTGTGGAAGTGGTCAATGAGCAGCATGATAACACATCTCTGCCAGAGGTCCAGAAGATCAATATTAACATGAGGATTTACAGGGTGTCTCTGCTGAAAAGCCAAACAGACCGGGTTGTGGTGAGTTACTTATATGTATGGAAGACATTTATGGCACAGTTAATTACTAATTATCCCAGCATTTAACATTTACAAACACTGAAGAGTACATTTCTGACACATACATATGAAGACAATTTGAGTACTTTACATTACTAAGGAAGTCAATATTTTGTAAACAAAGCCACTGTCAACTACTGAACGAATATCTGTTTGGTAACAGCTATTTTCCTAATAAAAATATAGTATTATGTATTCACATTTTCTGTTTTATACTGCTCTGTAAACTTCATAATCCATAACTACTGTTCATACAACTGCACTTCCTTTTGCCTCGCCATTATGAAGTAATGACCACTGAGCCAAGTAAAGCACCAAATCCAGCGATTCCCATAAATGCATAAAGGGCAGATTTTATTGCCACTGGCAAAGGACTAATGGGTCATATTGGCCTTTATAAGCACAGCTATCTTCTAAGTGCCTTCTTTTATATAAACTTTCAAATGCAATAAGTCCATATTGTGTATGGCAACTGGTAAAAAAGGCTAAACTAACACTGTTTTTCAGATTAATGGGATCTGGAGAAAGCTTCCACTAAGCCTTAACAGTGACACTGTCAACATCAGGAGCACCCCTACCACTATTGTGCTGGCAACCACTTTTGGTCTTACAGTCTCATTTGACAGCACTGGTGTGGTCCACGTCACCCTCCCATCAACCTATTCTGATAAAGTCTGTGGCATGTGTGGCAACTTTAACCACCTCAAAGAAGATGACTTTAGGAACCTCGAGTCACAAAACGCAACAGCTTTGGCTGAAAGCTGGCAGACTGGGAAAACTGCCTCTTCCTGTGAAACCATTCTATTCCCTCAGTGTGACCCACTGGAGGAGGCACAGTATGCCAGTGAGCTGTACTGTGGAGGCTTATTCTCTACTACTGGTCCCTTTGCTGACTGCTTATCAGTTGTAGGGGCAGACAGCTATATCAGAGGCTGCGTGTTTGCCATGTGTTCTACTCATGGTGACCAAGCCGTGCTATGTGAGACGCTACAGGTCTATATTGATATCTGCAATAAAGCTGGCATTGCAGTACCCATGTTGAGGAACTCCACAATCTGCCGTATGTTGCGTTATTAAATCCTGCTTTTGTTTTCTTCCTCCTTTTCAAAATAGAGCGCACAGTGGCAAATAATAACTGATAACAGTAAAGGTCATGCACTCTTTCCTGTCTTTTTCTCGGATCCCCTCAGCCATTCAGTGCGGTGAGAACAGCCACTATAACTCATGTGCTGATGGCTGTCCCGAGGTGTGCTCCAGTCTGGATATAGCTGGCTCCTGTGGAAGCTGTGAGGCAAGATGTGAGTGTGATTCTGGCTTCAAACTCAGTGGGGAAAAGTGTGTCCCAGCAGAAGACTGCGGGTGCTGGTATAATGGAAAACACTATGAGGTAAGTGAGGTAAATGAACACAACACAATTTCTTATTCACATATTCAATTTCACAGTAATTTATTCACATAACTCTGTTCTGCCTGCAGAAAGGAGAAACACTGGTGGAAGGAGATTGTGTGCAACAGTGTCAGTGTATGGGTAATAACAATATGCAGTGCACTCAAATGCAATGTGCAGACAATGAAGTTTGTAAGGTTAAAGATGGGGTCAAAGGCTGCTTCCTTTTCAAACCCACCACCTGCAGTGTGTACGGTGATCCACACTACATCACCTTTGACGGTCTGGCATATGACTTTCAAGGGGGATGCAGTTACATATTGACCACCACATGTGGTGGAGGAAGCTCAGTCCAGTTCACAGTATCTGGACACAACACCCACCCCCCCCTTCAGAACTTCACCAGATCCAAGCTTCAAGCCGTGGCTCTCCAAGTCGAGGATCTGTATCTCATCTTGAATCAAAGCGGAGAGGTCTATGTAAGAAAGCAATTCTCTCTTTAACACCATTGAAAACATTTCTTCACCTTTAAATTCAACAGGGCTGTTTTCAAGAACAGTGATCTGGGATTAGTTACAGCTTACATTTTACTGCACAAGGACTTCTTTTGTTCTGCATTATCTCCTGTAATTCATTAATGACAGTGGCAGATGACTTTCACACGTTTTTAGAGGTCAGTTACTGTTGTGTCAGATCGTTAGAGGAAGTCAGCTGTTTACAACCTGGAACTTAAGCAAGCTAAAGGGCTATACTTTAGTTAGTTAGTAGGTCACTGGTAGCACTAACCTAACTAACTATTTCAAGAAAATATTATCTCTACTTTATGTAAAACAACATGCAAAATAAGTTCAATTATTAAAAGACTGTCCTTTCTTTAGGTCAGTTATAAGCAAGTCCAACTGCCATATTCCACCAGCGGGACATATGGCTCAGTATGGGTGTATGTGAAGAATAATCATATCATCTTGGAGACAACTTTTGGCCTCAAAATGCACATAGATGGAGAGAACAGACTGTTTCTGCAGGTGGATGAGCACTACAAATATGATCTGTGTGGTTTGTGTGGCACTTATTCTGGATATCAGGACGATGACTTTGTAACTCCAGGAGGCCAAAACGTGTCAGAAACGTTTGAGTTTGGTGACAGCTGGAGGGTCCCAAACAACTCTGAGTGAGTTATTTTAATACTGTACACAGTAACAGCAAACATTTGGGTACCAGTATGGCACTTCTGTACCTAAATATACCAGCATAGTATTGAAAAAAACAAAAGCTAGTAAAATGACTGCATTTTTTAGCGCCAGCAGAGTGGCAGTGTTTACTCTCCAATGAGCCTGAATTGTGCTTTTTCTTTCATACTAATAAGCAACATAACATGTTTAGTAAAACCAGTGACCATCACCTGCTGAGCCTGAGCATGCCAGCATTGTTGTTGTATGTTAGTAATCTAAGCAGGTTCTGAGTGTCTTTGTGGCGGGGTGGGGGTTATTACATTACATTCACAACGTAATGACCCAGCCTGCTATCACGGCAAATCATGAAATAGACACACATGCAGGATTTGCAGTTCAGGCACAACAGAGGGAGGTATTTTATTTCAAGCCAACATCTAAAAATCTGCTCAGCTTGTCAGACAACTGCAGGGAGCACGTATTTCTTCAAAAACTGCTGACTTTAAATAATTAAATTACGTATTATGTAAGTGTTCCATGTAAAATGTTGAAATGAATCTGGTCAAATTAAATTTACTTGATTTGTATATATTCAGTTTATACAAAGCACGTTTTCCTTGAAGATTGAGTATTTGAATAAATAAACCTTTGATTTTATATCTTTCAGCTTCTTTTTACTCAGAATGGTCGCATCATGCATATTAAGGGTGAAAAGTTGTTTTTTTGAGTGAATACAACCTGGCGCCTTGGCTAGCCAATGTACTAAACTCACACACTAGCATATATTTTTCTTTATGCATCGTAATTTACTTAAAATCACATCAACATGTTTTATACAGTATCAGGGGCGTAATTTCTAGGCGGGTTATGACCCCCCTCCCAATAATCAGCCCCAATAAAATTATGAATTATCTTGCATAGATAGGCTGTTGATTTCTTTATCCATTTCAGTTATTACCAGCAAGATAGTTGCATGTTTAATCATCTGGGAGTTTACCCAGATTTATTTATTTATTTAGATAGAGGTCTTGACCCCCTCAATGTTCAGCACAAAGTTACGTCCATGTACAGTATAATCTAGAAGTAACTAATCTCTGTTTGTCTAAATTTTCTCAGATGTTTAGCTCGTCCAAACAATCCAAGACTCTGTGACAAGGATGAGAGGGATACAGCCTACAATGAGTGTTCAGTGCTGTTTGGCAGTGTTTTCATGCCCTGTCATGAACACATTCACCCAAGCATTTACCTCAATAGTTGTGTGTATGACTACTGTGCTACGAGCGGCGACCAACACACACTCTGTGAATCTCTGAAGTCCTATGCAACAGCATGCCAGGTTTCAGGAGTTGAACTTCCAAATTGGCAGACTGGCACAGCCTGTGGTGGGTATTTGCATCAAATATGAGGATGACACTGTTATTATCATACAGTGTCATCAAGTAAATATACAGTAGGATGTCTAGATAGGTTGTGTTAACTGTGTGTGTTTTCATCCAATTTCAGAAGGCCTTTCTACTTCAACAGCTCCTCCAACAACTGCTTCTCCAACACCAGATCAAACTTGTAAGAGCATTCACAGTTTAGAAAGTTTATCGGGGACTAGTTTAAATAAGTGACGTGATACAGTTTACAAATAATCATTTCAAAACAAATATTAGCTTAGCTAATAAGCTTGCTTGCTTTATATGTGCCAATATTTAATAGAAGTGTAAATATATTTTAGTTCTTTTGCTGACCTGAGGTATAACCTTCGACACATTAGATGGGATATTAAAGTTTTTTTCAAAGTTTAAAAGCACTGTATCTCAGAAATTATTATTAACTTATAAATCAGCATTTCCATTGTTTGTTTCTTTCATCCATTATTTACATTTTGCTTTCTATAGTTTGTCCCTTGAACTGCAATTTTGAAAAAGATCTGTGTGGGTGGGAGCAGCTTATGCAGGACACTTTTGATTGGACAAAACACTCTGGACCCACACCAACAAATTTAACAGGTCCAAACCAAGACCACACCACTGGAGGTAAAACCAGTCTGTTACTTCTGTTGTTTTTCCTTTTTAGAGGTTGGGGTCTATTTTGGTTGGTTTCATAACATTGTTTATACTTAATGTGTACTATTCAACTTTTCCATAGCTGGTTTCTACATGTACCTTGAGGGAGACAGTGTAACTCATGGAGACTCTGCCCGTTTGATGAGCTCGGCGTGTAATTTTAACGGACCACTCTGCCTGTATTTCTGGTACCATATGTATGGTTCAGCCACAGCCATGGCTCTTAATATCTACCTGCTGAAAGACAGTAAAACAACAAAGCTCTGGTCCATGATGGACAACCAGGGACCAGAATGGCATCTGGGAAGAGCTGATGTCAAAGTGTCTGGTCCATTCCAAGTGAGTTTGACAATACATGAACATAAGAAATGTATGAAGGGCTTGCTGGAAATCAAGACTTGATATCCTAATTTAGAATTCTATTTTCTTCTTATGCCTTTCAGATTATAATAGAAGGAATTCGAGGCTCTAATTATCAGTCAGATGTGGCCATAGATGACATATCTGTCCATTTTGGCTCATGTTCAGGTAACAAAGGCAAAGCAAACTGTAGGTGCTTAATAAATATGGAACTATGCAATACTGTTGTAAACAGTTTGGAAAGTAAATCATTTAAGATATAAACTTCTTTAGCATAACTGATGTGACAGAGTTTACCAAAAGTCAGTGTTGTTTTTATTTAGGTAGCTTTCCAGCCCTGGGAAGTGGAACTAAGCCTTCTACAACTACAGAAATGCTCCCCTTACACCAAAGTAAATACACAGGAAGTTATATTTTACAAGTCATGTGTTTCTGCATCATAAAACCTTATGTTAAGTTAAAAATTAACATTTACATCTTGTTCATGTACTGAGTGTGCAGATTCTAATGGTAACTTGGGTTCACTTTTAGGAAGTTTAACAAGTATCTCATGACTCATGCTATTTTTTTTCTCCAAATGTTTCCCTTTAGTCTGCAATCTTGACTGTAACTTTGAAAGCAACCTTTGTAGCTGGGACCAGACGATTACGGATGCTTTTGACTGGACCTGGCAAAGAGGTTCTACCCCCACTTTAATGACGGGCCCCTCTGCTGACCACACTGGTGGTAAGATTTGATGTAAAATTTACACTGACAGTTAATAAAACCATAATACATCTAAAGGTGGACTTATTCCTTATATTATTATATCTTTAATGTTTTCAATCACCTTTTCTAGATGGCCACTATCTTTACATTGAAGCCAACAGTGCATCGTATGGAGACACAGCTCGTCTCATCAGCTCTGAGTGCTCTGA